TTTTTTTTTTAAAGCATGTGTGCTGATACTATTTCTGATTCAACAATGGCATGTGCATATTTTGGAGTAGATAATCCCCCCCCCCGCCACTCCAGAAGCAAAACTTTAATAAAAGTGTTAGTCTTCCATTTGGCTTCACTCCAAACACTGTTGCACTGAATGCTGTTTCATGGCATTTAGTTTAGAACGTCTTCAAAAAAAAAAAAAACAACAAACCTCTGAAAACGTTTTTCAGTTAATCAGATGTAAGGCTGGGATATTTCAGGTGTCTGACAAAAAAATCCTTGCATTGTCCCATAAAACTGGAACCATATGGTTGCTACGTATATTTGGCCTCCAGACTGACCTTGCACCAAAATAGTCGGTCTAGTGCCTCTCCAAATTACTCCATCTCTTCATACTGCTTCACTGTTTCCATAAACCTTCTCCATTAAGTGTCTGAAGTGCATTGCTGCTGCTTGTCTTTTGACAGTCTGCCAGTGTACCTGGAACACGTGAACAAGTACTATTCCTCCTCTCCCTCCCCCATGGCTCTTGATTCTGTATCTGTTTCTTCTGTATTGCTATTATGCCTCCTGCAATACGTGACCAGCAGTCACTTGCTCATTTTCAGATTATTCCTCAAACCTTTGTGGTCTGTCAGTGTTTTTCAGCCACCATAGGAAAGCTTGCGTACTAAATCAAATAATGCCATCCAGTTTGAAGTATCTGTTGCTTATCCACCTCGTACAGTTGTGACACCATTTTTTTTCTGTTACTCGTCTCAGAAATAGCATTAACCGTACATGCTCTATCATCTGAACATTTTGTTACACATGGCATCAATATTTGACAAATAGCTTCTAAATAGTATGTCTTGGGTCAAATCTATATTTGTAATTCTGCGGTCAATGTACTGTTACTAGACGATCAAGAAGCCGATCGAGGAGGAGGTCCCATTCAAAGTCAAGAAGCAGGCGGCGATCTAAAAGTCCAAGGCGGAGGAGGTCTCATTCGAGAGAGAGAAGCAGAAAATCTAGGAGCACATCCAAAACCAGGTAATGGCCTCATGAAACCTCTGAATGTAAAAAGAGAACATGAAATTAATTTGGCAAAAGAAAATCAGCTGCTTGGGAATATTTGATGACCTTGTTACTAATTGAGTGCTGCAAGTTAGCAGTTTGAACTCTGATAGTTACTTACATGATGAGGTAAAATGAACTTGCTAACTCCTATACCCTGTTAATTTTGTATGAAATCTGTTTTTCCCTATAAATGGCCAATGTTTAGCTCCTAAAGAAACATGACTTAATTTTCATAGGGGATAAGCAGCTCCTATTGGTTGAAGTGCAAAATATGGATGCATTTCACACTTGAAAATCATAAAAACTGAGATTTTGAAAATCTTTATTTCGTTCACTTAAAGGGATAAAAAGAAGGAAGAGAAAGAAAAGAAACGTTCTAAAACTCCACCAAAAAGTTACAGCACAACAAGACGATCTAGAAGCACAAGCAGGTATAGTAATTTGTCTTCCTTAGTTCTGTTTCCAGTCTAAGATATAATGGTATTGCTGCACGAAGTGTTATCAGTGTGGTTTAGGGCAGCATGTAATGATGCTGAGCCTCTCAAAGAAAGCGGGGAGATTACTCATTTGCTAGGGAGCATGGCTATAAATTATGAAATAGCACTTCAGCTAGGCTTACAAAGGTGCTTACAGAAACTGCAGTGAAACTAGACCCTTTTCAGTCTAACTTGCAGCTTCCATTTAAAAGTAGTATCCAGTGGGAGGAGAATCAGTCTTGTGCCAGAGCCTTGATACCAGCAACTCTCTGGTGACCCTGGCTCTGGCATCTCTGTGGTTTTTCGGACATGAATTTTAGCATGAATAAGACTGAGCAAGACTGCTGGACTTGGAAAGGTTGAGAACCCGGGTTCTTAGCCTATGTTGTGATTGCTTGAAATGGGAGATTCACTTATTTTGCCCACTGCCAAAGGAAAAAATATCGTTTCAAATAAGCACTTTTTAAAGTATATCAGCACAATGATCCCATTCTTTTCTCTACTATATGATGCACTTAATTTTTCCCTTAAACTTATTTGAAGTTACAACTTTAACTCTGAAAATAGATTCCTGCTCTTTGCATGGCAAAATGGATATTGAGCCTTTCAGGCCTTCTGGGTTATTTTCAGTGTATAAGATGAACTAGCTTTTGTGAGACACTTTAAAATGCTTCTAGAGCTCATTACTTGTGTTTACAAGTCAAAACTCTTTTCCAGTTGAGCAGAAACTCTACCTGATAGCTGAAAATCAAGCTCTTTTATCTGACTCCTGTTACATTACCTTCAATAGTCTGTAATAGGATCTTAGCTGAAAATTTATTTAATGACAGGGCAGATAAACATAATACAGCTTGCCCTTCATATCCACAGCTGCCTTGTCTTTATAGTGCACTTAATCACAAACGCTACTTCACAGTAAAACAAGCAGACATCTCTGTAGAGCAGTGCTCCTTTAGAGTCCAGATAAGTGCCTGTATTAAACGTTCTCCATAGAAATGCTGTAGTTTATTAGAGTTTTAACGTTGATATGTTTTGGACCACTTCCTCTTTAATGCCTATAGAGAAAGACGGCGCAGAAGAAGCAGGAGTGGAACAAGGTCGCCTAAAAAGCCAAGGTCCCCTAAAAGAAAACCGTCCCGATCTCCATCTCCAAGAAGGTCAGTGTGCCTGAAAGCCCCTGAATTTAATGTCTCTATCTCTCTCTTTCAAAGGTATGTCTGGGTAATAAATGCTGCATGCTTGTAATTCTTGAAGAGCAGTGGCAGATGTAGTTATAGGTAGTCCAGTTTAGGGAATTTCTTGGATTTCACCATAGCTTCTGTGAGAGATGGAGGTCCTGATTTATTTATTTATTGGATTGGTTTATCTGAAACTAGCAAACGGAGTGTGGGGGGCTTTGCTTTTTGAAAATAAACTTTCGCTCAGTCCCACTTGGAAAATTTCCATACGCATGAGGTGGTTAGCATTGGGATCAGAGAACAGTAAAAAATGGTTCGATGTCTAGTTGGTAGCTGGTATCAAGTGGAGTACCCCAGGGGTTGGTCCTGGGGCCGTTTTTGTTCAATGTCTTCATCAACGACCCGGAAGATGGCACAGAGTGCACCTTCAGCAAGCCTGCAGATGACACCAAGCTGGGAGGAGTAGTAGATACACTGGAGAGTAGGGCTAGGATTCAGAGTGACCTTGACAAACTGGAGGATTGGGCTAAAAGGAATTTCATGAGGTTCAACAAGGACAAGTGCAAAGTTCTGCACTGAGGAAAGAACAATCCCATGCACTGGTACAGGCTGGGGGCTGACTGGCTGGGCAGCAGCTCTCCAAAAAAAGACCTGGGGGTGACAGTGGACAATAAGCTGAATATGAGCCAGCAGTGTGCCCTTGCTGCCAAGAAGGCTAACGGCATACTGGGCTGCATTGGTAGGTATGTTGCCAGTAGGTCAAGGGAAGTAATTATTCCCCTCTATTCAGCACTGGTGAGGCCACATCTGGAGTACTGTGTTCAGTTTTGGGCCCCCCACTACAGAAAGGATGTGGACAAATTGGAGAGAGTCCAGCGGAGGGCGACAAAAATGGTGAGAAGGCTGGGGCACATGACTTACGAGGAAAGACTGAGGGAACTGGGCTTATTTAGTTTAAAGAAGAGAACACTGAGAGGGTACTTAATACCAGCCTTCAACTACCTGAAGGGGGGTTCACAAGAGGATGGAGCTAAACAGTTCTCAGCGGTGGCAGCTGACAGAACAAGGAGCAATGGTCTCAATTTGCATCAAGAGAAATTTAGGCTAAATATTAGGAAGGATTTTCTCACTAGGAGGGTAGTAAAACACTGAAACAGAGGTGGTGGAAGCTCCATCCTTGGAAATTTTTCAAACCTGGCTAGACAAAGCTTTGGTGGGGTTGATCTAGTTGGGGATGGTCCTGCTTTAAGCAGGGGGTTGGACTAGACGTGACCTCCTGAGGTCCCTTCCAACCCTAACTTGCTATGATTCTGTGATTGCAATTGTGTTTTTGGAGTATAAGTTTAGATTACAGTGAAAGTCTTCACTTGAATTTTAGCTATATGCTCACATTTCTCAATGTCTTAATGTATTCTTGTCCTAGACATAAAAAGGAAAAGAAGAAGGATAAAGAAAAAGAGAGAAGCCGAGATGAGAGAGAACGGTCAACAAGCAAGAAAAAAAAAAGCAAAGACAAAGAGAAGGATCGAGAAAGAAAGTCTGAGAGTGACAAAGATGTAAAGGTATGCTTAAAGTATGGCTTGGCTATGCTGCCTCTATTTAACACAGTATTGAACTTTGCTTAAGAATCTTGAGGCACGTTTTACTTTTTTTTTTTTCATCTCTGCAAAGCAGGTTACAAGGGATTATGATGAAGAAGAACAAGGATATGACAGCGAGAAAGAAAAAAAAGAGGAAAAAAAAGTGGCAGAATCTGCTTCCCCCAAAATCAAAGAGTCTCCAGTGGATAAAGGAAGTGGAGATGGAACAAGAGAATCCAAAGTAAATGGGGATGATCATCATGAAGAGGACATGGATATGAGTGACTGAATGTTGCCTTTGCTGTGAATGCAGCTGCAGACGTGCATCAGTGTCATTCCTGTGTGATTCTTTTATGCTGTACTACTTGTTTAATCCTAAATTTAGATGTATACAGCTCTAAACTATTAATGGTTGTAAAGCTCCTGATATTAATTTACATCAAAAGCTTTATAGAAAGTGGTCCATGGGTAACCATTCTTGTATGGCCAAATGGGATTGGGTAGCCAAGTGGTTCTTACTAACTTGGTACTGTTTCAGGCAAAAGTGAAAAGCTGCATGCATCTACAGCAGGCATGGATTTTTTTATGTTGTATGATCTCCTTTAGTAAATCAGCTCACTTATGATAGTGTTTCTAGAGTTTGATTAATTGCAGTAATAGAGCAGTATAGGGAATGCACTGACTGCATGTTAATTGTGGCAGAAACATCCTAAATGTTCTAAAAATCCTACGATATATGATGGATCTACTAAAGGTCTTAAGTGTGACTACACAAAAAAGATTGTTACATCTGGAAATAAGCATTCTGATCTAGGTAGATGATCTTTTTTGGCCATTTGGCTGAACGTTTTTTGTGGGTTTTGTTTGGCTTTGACAAGGTTAAAATGCACTAACCTTTTTGATGGCTTTTTTACCCAAACCCATCGTGGGCAGTGAAGAGTAGCATACTTCAGTGGTTCCTAACTTTTCCTTCTCTTAAGCTGGGGAAGGTAAAATTTCCTGATGTAGGAATGCAGAATCTCCACCTGCCTAGTGTCCAGTCATTAGAGGTTGCTTTGTGCAATTTTCATAACCCAGTTTTTTACTTTAGGTTTTACTTGTTCATGAGCTAAACACATGCAGAAAGGTAGTGCATTTTAAAATTGACCTTTGTATGCTTTTAAAAGCAAGTCTACTTGATAATGTACTTTTTACTTGATCTCAAGTTGTATAAACTAATGAATTTTGTGTTTACTGTCACTGCAGTAGTAATCTTATGCACACAGTGATTCCATGTTATGCAAAGTAGTTAGGCAAGCTGTTTTCTTAGTTACAGAAGTTTTTGGAGCTATTACTTTTGTGCAGGTAAAAACAAAAGTAGGCTACAGTCTGTGCCATGTTGATGTACAGTTTCTGAAATTGTTTTACAAGACTTTGATAATAAAATCCTGAAACTTATGCTCATGTTCCTGTAAAACTGTACTTGTATTTATTTACACCACTGAATGTATGAAATTACCTCATTTATTGAGTTGACCTTTCCCCCTCGCTCACCTATTTCAACGGGATCGTAGTTTAAAGTCATTCCTTATAACTAGTGTACAAGCAGTGAAGAAAACTGTTAAACCTATTTCAATGCAGCATGTATCTTATTTTATTTTACCTTAATTGTGGATGAAGGGAATACGCCCAGATGGGACCCTAGAGTATCATAGGATAAGTACTTAAAATATGTATTTGTAAAAAAATTGTATTTTCATTGAAATATAAACATTTTCATCTTTTATCTTCTCCAGAATGGTAATGGAAGACTAGCAGAAACAGTAAGGAGAGGAAAGCTTTGAGTATCTGCTATACAACTCTAAAAGCTAACGTATTAAAGAGTTTGATGTGATGCAACAACTTGCTGATTTTAAATGAGTAGGTTTTCTAAGTGAAACTAAAACCTGGTGCTTGTAATTTGAGTCTAAGTCTAACCACAATTGTTTTTAAACTCTCATTTTCCTGCAGGAATTTTGAAGTGGGAATTGCCATTTAGATATGCAGTGTCATTTTTAGAATTTGTAGAAATGTAACTTTTTAAAAACTGTTTTCAGTATTTTCTCAATACAGAGAGGTCTATGTCATACCATTGACTCTCCTAGCCTCTTTTTTAGTGAAGTGAAAAAATGATAATCCTAGTAACAGAGATGAAATGTGCAATGTGTAGTTGTGTTTCCATGGATGAGCACCTTGTGCAATCTGACCGGATTCTGTTTTGGAAGTACCTGGAGCACTGTACATAGAGCAAGACAACTTGATATTTGGATTCTTTTAATCCAAAGGATACATGCCATATAGTTACCTGCTTCTGCATTTAGCTAGCAGTGGGAATGCAAAGGGGAGACCATTGGTAATGCACCAAGATTGTCACGTACCCTATGAATGAATGTGCACAGCCTCTGCATCCCAGTTTTCTGGAAAATAAGGAACAATCCTTCTTTTCTACTGTTTTGTAATGTAATGCAGTTTTGAGTAGATGGGGGAAGTGAGGAACCTGTCCTCAGATGCAGATTCCAGTTGCTCTACATAGCTTACTGTTAAGCAGGTAGTGTAGTTGGTGTTTTGTACACACATCTAGTTATACAGGCCTGATATGTATGAAAGTGTAACGGTAAAGTATATACGAAAAGAGGCACCTCACAAAAGAGGTTTATATGTTGTTACTTCCTAAGTCAGTTTTTTGATCTGAGATTTGAATACTGTACAGTTCAAGCCATGAGCTACAACAATCAAATGCCTCCATAATTGCTGTTTGGAAGTCAGCATGTGGTAAACCTTTGCCAACCGATTCCATATTGCTATTTTCAATAGATTAGAAAAAAGGAAATGTCAACTTCTAAATATCAGTTCATTTCTATGGAATGGAGTGGTTGTGGGGGTGGTGTAGTCAAGTTCCCCCTGCCATGAACAGCCCTCCACCCACTCCCTGCCTTTCACTGCCCCTAGTCTCTGCATCTCTCCCTCCTGGTCCTGCCTCTTCCCCCCTCCCCAACAAACTCCCCACAATCTCTGCCTTTACCTCCCCTTCTCCTGGCACTTCCTGTTGGACACTGCTCAGGCTCTGTTCCTTCCTGAAGCGCATCGTGTGGAAGCTTAGCCCTTGCTGGGCTAAACAGCAGTATCAGTGCTACTAATTAGCCAGAGGATGGAGTTTCCCTGTACTTGCCCAGGAGGGAATCTAGCCACAGTCAAGTTGCACCTGACTAGCAAAGCGGGGACAAGAAGCTGCTCAGTGGGTGTGACTAGCCCCAAGCCAGGCTCCAGGTCAGAGCTGCAGCAGCTACCTGCACCCACTCACCCCTGTACTTTGTATGCAAATCTAAGGGGCTTCGCCCTGCCCCCTATGCTGACTTAAGGGGGAAAAACAGTACTTGAGTACATTTTGGTAATACAGAAAAGGTAAAATGTGTTGTCTTACTTTTTGCTGCTTTAAA